TCTTCGGCACGAGAAAACATTTCGAGAAACGTAGTCTCGAATTCCTCTTCCAAACCAATTCCACAGAGTAATCCTAGATCGAACGACTCGATCGAAAGTGAAAGAAAGAAAGGGTGGGGATACAGGTTACATCTTTTGTTACGTTTTACATCAGCATCTCAAACGTTCCATCCCTTTGAACGGCACACGCGACTTACCTAAACGGTTTATCTACATCGATTCCTCAATTACATTAACCAATATATACCGTTCCCTCTGTCAAAAGTGTTCCACCCTTAACGACCGTTCCCTCTCCTATCATTATCCATTTATCCCGTTCGACGTTTTAATTCACTCACGAGAACAAGTGAAAAAACGCGCCAACTTTTAACTTTTTCTTCTTTCAACCATCTTCCACGCATTCTCTCGTTCCATTTCTTTTTTCCTCTTTTTCTTCTTCTTCTTCTTTTTCCATGTTTCAAAGCCTCGACGAGGCTAATAAGCGTTCGAAAGCGTATTTGTACAGGAGATAGGCTGGGTATCGACACTGGGCATTATGCATGCACGTAATTCGTGCGTGCATCGCCATCGTAATTTCGGATTACGGGAATTGGAATCCTCGTAAGGAAAAAAAAATAGGAAACGAAGTATGCGCGGGCTTGCATATCGGGCCAATCTCGCGAAACGCGAGACGATTTTGATTAAGAATCGCCGAGAGACGAAAATTTGATAGCGCGAGATTAGCGCGTGCTTCGACTTTCCGCGATTTTTTCTCTGTTTCTTTTCTTTTTTTTTTTTTTTGTTTTAAGAAAGAAGCGTAGCTGCGTAATTTGTAACATTTATCGTGTACTTTTACGCGGATGGCGTCAACTTTCAGTTTCTTCGAGTTTCGATCGTTACGACGTATTCGATGCACGAATAAATGTTAAAATATGCGTGTATTTATTCCATTCGTTTAATGACGAGAAATAGAGGTAAGAAGATCGAGGAAATGAAATAGCAAGAGGAGAGAGGATTGCGTAGAACTCGTTAAGAGATTAATTAATTTGAATAATGAAATTGATTAATTTTTTAGTTAATTTAAAATGTTCGAATGTACGAATTTATTCGTAATTGCTATAATTAAACCACTCTTCGAACAATAAATTACTCGAACTCTACAGTTCGATTTCCAGGAACAACTTTAAATGTTACGCGAAAACGATGAAAAATACAACGAGTTTGTCGAATTTTTCTTTTCCTCCACGCATTTTCAACGTTCCATTGTTTGTCGGCATTGTTTGCAAAGCTAACGGGACTTAATTTGAATAATGAAATTAATTAGTTACAATTTTTTACCTCGTTTAAAATTCTCGAACAGAATTTATTCCCAGTTGCTATAGTTAATCCCCGTTCTTCGTCTAATCTTTGAACAATAAAAATTATTCAAATATCATGGCTCGATTTCCAGGAAAAACTTATATCAAATCGATATCTTCGACGATCGACCATTTCTCACCTTCCATTTGTCACATTTTTTTAGATCTTTCCACGAATGTCGGAAAATAAAAACCGACTTCTGCTTTCCTTCCTTCTCGCAGACGAAGAACGGATTTTAGAAATGCGTTGGAAAACAATTGTACTAAACACAAAAGCAATTACACGTAGGAAGTTGGTGGTTCGCGTTATCGCGTTAGGTACGTGTTTCTCGCTTATCAGTCGCTTTGGTACCAGGAGTGGCTCGTAGGTGGTAACACTCCCAGTCACCCAGAAGAAGAATAAGTATCTTCTACGGGATCTCCTACAGGAATCTTAGTAAAATATGCATCCATTGAATCATTTCTCAATTACATTACATTCTTTTTTTTTTTTTTAACTGGATTTATTTATTCCAGTTGGGTCGAGTCGTTTCGTGTTTCAAAGTTCACGCGCGGTCTTTCACTTCCTTGATTTACGATGAACGTGTGATTCGGGTGAAAGGTAAGATAAACTTGTTAATTTAAAAATTGATACACGATATATTGCAGAAGATATATATATATATAGAGAGAGAGAGAGAGAAAAGAATATCGCGAGACGAATCACTGTTTATAAAATCGAGTGGTTGTTTGTTAAAATTGTGAAGAGGATATTTTGCAAAAAATCGAAATGGAAGGTGACGACATATCGAAGTTATTACGAAATATATCGCCTCCTCTAAACCTTTATGACGTGTGCCACGTCGAACGATTATGAAACTAATGAGAATATTTACGAGAATTTTAACACGTTACTTTAGAGGCTGCTGGCGCGCAACGCGCCATTAATTTGTGAATACGATTATTAAGTATTCACGACGGGAATAGAAGAATGACAAGCGAGAACGTTCCTTTAACTTTCCAAACCAATTGAGCAAATTTTGCAATTGTGTCAATCTTAATCTCATCCTTTTAACGCGATATTTCTTACCTCGAATCGTTGAATCATCAATTACACCGCCCTTGTCGCCGCACTCCCAAGAAATATCGAGAAATATCGATATTATACCCCGGGAATAATTATTCCCCCTTCGAACATCGAACGATAAAAACAATTACTCTTCGTCTTATTCGATATGGTTAAATCGGCCGTAACATAAATTCTAATAATCGGCCTCGAATCGGTCGACTCGAGCGATCGATACGGCCGTATCCCTCGATCGCTCCCAACTATTCTGACGATCGTCGTCACCAACCAAACGCACAAAATACATTCGCGTATCTATACCTTGGAGATAGCCGCGAGCTATAATTATCTCATAATTCAGGGAACGGGGTGATAAGAAAATTACATCACCGGATACAAACACCGGTGGAACAAACGTTAAAATCGTTTTTTCGTTGCCTGTAACAGTTTGCCCCTGGATTTCTTCGAGGAGAAACTGGTATTTTCTCTCGCTTCGCGATCGGACTTCCTCGTTCACCTTTGCATTGTCGAGGGTCAAGGTTCTCTGCGATTAAATGCCGTACGGTATTCGGTCGAGATGTTGCGCCTAATCAATGAACAACTCGCGGATTAAAAATATCGTTAGAAAAATTCGTGTAATATTTCCACCTCACCGACTTCGATTCTGATTGGGAAACGATAAAAACGATATTTCGATAAACGAGAAGCGCTTTGGCCAACCCTGTTTAAATTGCGTGTAATCTTTCGTTTCGAGGCATCGTTGATAACGCGATTAAGAAGCGGAGAAACGAGACGGAGAGAAGGAAGGATGGATCTTCGCCACCGCTTAATCGCCGATACTTAATTGGAGAGGCTGCTCCCCCAACGGACGAGAATATCGCGATTTTCGATATCGGCGCGCACGTGCAATTATTTATACGCGACTCGTATCCTGCTTTTCCTTCTACTTCGTCCCTTCGATATGGGAGGAGAAGCTGGAAGAACGATGTTGACGGAACGTGGAGGAACGTGGCGTGGCGGAATATCGCGTGATGAAGTTTGCGACGAGTGGAGTGTACGATACGAGAGGATAAAATGTAAAAGACGTTAAAGGCTGTTGTTGTAAAGATGTTTCGTTAAAAATTATACACTGCTCGAGTATCGGAACGCGAAATTCAAAGAAAAGCGGGGGGGAATATATAAAAAGGGTTTGATATTTCGGGGGGGGGGGATATTAAGAGAGGGATAAAAGCGTGGAAATTTATAAATGTTTATGGAAATAAGGATTCGACATATGTATTTTGCCACCATTATTTAAACCAGATGTAAACGTGACTCGCACTATATTTTCATATTTTCTAATTATCCTTCCAGATTTTCTCCTGCAAGGGCATTATATTTGCATAACACCGTAGAATTCACTGTGGCTGCGCACGCACACAGTGTTTGCAATTTTCTCAATTACTTTGCGACCACATCGTCTCTCTCTCCCTCTTCTTCTTCTTCTTTCCTTGTAAATTTCTTCTCTTCTCTTTGGACCAACCTTGCTCGCAATTTACGTCACGCGGATTAAATATTGTGAAAACTCAAAATCCTCTTTTTTTTTCCATCCCTCAATAATTTGAAAGAGAAGGAAAACAAAGTCTATATTTTAAATTAAAAAGAGAGAGAGAGAGAGAAAAAATTTGCGAATGATTTCGCGACTGGAATCATGCCTCGTACGTGTCCTCCAGTTTATGCGCGCAAATACACAAGGTATATAAGTTCCAGCTAAGTTACAAGCTCCTTCTCTCCCTCGAGTTCCTTAAAATCCACCGACAGAGAAAGACAAAGAGAAAGAGAAAGAGAGGGAGAGAATTTTAAATTATTCCGTTACACCATAATTCTTTACCTGAAACCGCACGAAACCGATACCACGTTCGGATTTCCATCGAACCGCAAACAGTGCTATACCGCTGCCCGTTTACATAGTTGATCCAACAAGCGTCGACTCGAATCGTGGAATTAAACGGCGTGCAAAATTTCCATCTCGAAACAGAGTTGTCTGGAAATCCGTTCCCTTCTTTTCACGCCGAATACATTTCGTATTTCCTGCCATCCCGATCGCAACAACGACCGATCGCACGGCCTCGAACACGTTCGCATCTCTCTCTCTCTCTCTCTCTCTCTCTCCTCCGTCGCTGCACACGTGTTATTATTCAATAACAGGTGTAATGCAAGCCAGCGCTATGGGCCTCTAATCCATGTGCGTGCGAGGCAAACAAAACGTAGTGGATGCACCACCGGATACCAACCTCGGGTATTATCCGCATACGTGAGCGTACTCGCCGTTTATACCTTGTGTTATATGGTGTACGTATTATACTGGGTGTCCTTGCGAACGTGTCCCTCACCCCCTCCCTTTTTCCTCGAGAATTTTCACAAATTTTTCACGAAAACGAACACGCGTTTCCGTGTGTTCGACGAGACATTTTCTTTTTTTTTTTTTTTTTTTTCCTTCTTCAAACATCTTCAAACGTAATCGAATTTCTCGAGGGGATATCGAGGGCGAATAAAAGTTGAAACGGTGATTTATACCTTGTGTATCCTCCCCTCCTTTTTCTTTCTCGAGAATTTTCACGAATTTTTCACGTGTGAACTCGCGCTTCGATAAAGCGCGTTTCTACATTCTTCCCCCCCCCCCCCTCCTCTTCAAACTTATCTTCAAACACGGTCAACGTGATCGAATTTATCGAGGGGATATCGAGGGCGGATAAATCGTAAAATCGAAACGGTGATTCGACGGTTTATATCTTCTGTATTCTCCCCTCCCTCTCCTTGCTCGACAAATTTCACGAATTTTTCACGCGCGAACAACGACTCGTGCTTCCGCGTGTTCGATGAAACATTTCTTTTTTTTTTCCCCCCCTTTTTCAAACGTCTTCAAACATAGTCGAATTTATCGAGGGGATATCGAGGGCGGATAAATCGTAAAGTCGAAACGATGGATTCGACGAAACACAGGCGAGTAGCCAGGGATATCGATATACGTTGGATATACACGAAGCCCTTGGCAATGTCGGAAAGGAAGGCAAGATTCGCGAGGCACGCGGGTACCGTTATCTACTTCTACTTCTAGTCCTCGCTCTCTCTCTCTCTCTCTCTCTCTCTCTCTGTCTCTCTCTCTGTCTCTCTCTCTGTCTCTTCGATCACGACCATTGTCGCGTTGCCATTGTACCGGATACTCAACCGAGAATAAACAAGCCGATTAAGATACGCAGGGTGGGGAGGAGGGAGGAGAGAGAGAGAGAGAGAGAGAGACGCGTGTTGCTCGGTCGGTCGCCATGGAGAATTTCAGTTAACGGCAGAAATTTACGTTTCTTGGTTCCCAGAAATAACGCGCGTGCCTTCGTTCGTTTTTTTTTTCTTTTTTTTCTTTTTTTCCCTCTTTTTCGAAACGACAGACATTGTGGCAAAGGGGAGGGGAGAGAAAAGAAAAGGAGAATAAAGGGACTCCCTCCTTTAATTTAATCGAAACTGATTTGCATAATTATAAATGACGATATAAGTACGATTCTAAGAATAAATCTCGTGTAAAGATCGAGTGTGACGTTAAATTGTTTGTTAAATTATCGAGAAAAATGAAATTTTACTTTCCCTCCCCTCCCCGTTCTATTATCACGTAGCATTTTCATGTAGTTTGGCAAATGCGCTTTTTGAAGGGAGATCACTGAGATTAAATAGGTAAAATATGGTGGTGAAACAAGGATCTCGCGAACAAGGGTTGTAATGATATGTCCGAGCGAGCGATTGCGAGTTTACGACGGTCGCCTGATGCGGTGAGAATGGTTTGAAAGTTTTTTCTTTTTTTTTCTTTTTTTTTTTTTAATTGCCGCTGTTAAACGTTTTAAGGAAGCGAGTGTAAATTGCACGTTACGAGAGTGTAATAACAAGAGAAGAGGGATGTATTTCTGGTAATGAGCGAGTTTGAAAAAAAAAAAATAAATGAAACGAGAGAGTTTTTTTTAACTACGGTAGATATAAATTACACGCTCGATATAAACTCTCGTAATTTGATCAATCGCGTAGTTTGACCGATATTCGGCTCGAGATGGGCCAAATATATTCATAAACGAACGGTTAATCTAAGAATCGGAAGAATAAAATTTGTATTCCCGTTGGAGTTGCTACAAATATTCATAGGAATCGAGACGAGATGCCACCGCAGGGCAAAGTGTAGCGTATGTAAGGTAGACCGCAGGATTGGTTGAAAAGCGACCACGAGTCGCATGGAACCGGCTCGAGCGCGTTGCAACACCTAGCATCCTCCTTAGGGAAGGAAACAAGGCCGGCCTTCGTGCAAGCTCCTTCCTCTAACCCCTGAACTTTCGAACCGTCCAATCCTCCTTATTTTTTTTTTTTTTTTTTTCCTTAATCCGTCGTCTACCCGAGTGACTTACGTTCCCGCCTCGGCCCGTTCGTGCTCGTTGTTTTGACGGCTTGTTGCATAAATAGCCCGACCAACCTATTTTCGCCTCGTCCGCCGATCGACAGAATTCGCTTGGTGCATCGGGGGAGAGAGTTAGATTTGTTTGGGTTCTCCGATCGAATTTATTTTACCGTAGGAGGAGAGGTTGGGAAACGAAAGAGAAACATCGCCGTTGAATCATCATCGTGATAAGCGTAATCTACACGATGATGTTACAACATCCAACTCTTTATCCAACCGCTAGCTTGCTGCTGTTTACTCTTATTTCACGTCATAACTCATCCCTCGTTTGCTCAAACACGTGCATACCCGCGCGAGATCATAGGTGTCTTTTAACCTTTTTTTTTTTTTTTTTTTTTTTATTCCTCTGGTAACATGAAACGAGACGAGATGATCCAGCCTCGCTAAAAATGCGCTCGAACAACCCGACGATTTGCCGATTTTCGTGGGATGCTGCGGTTCTACGACGGATATTTGGATACTTTATTTTCTATTCGATTCTTTTCTGAAGAAAGAAAGGTATATATATATATATATTATTCCTATGTGTTGTGACGCAATTTAACGAAAATCTGCCGATGTAAACGCAAAACTATTCGTTTTTCATTTATACTTCTTTGTAAAAAAATGGTGAATGTATGAAGTAAATTCGAAAATTAGAGGAAGGTTAAAACGTTAATGGAAAGTATATATAAAGGAAATACTCGATCTAGATATTTTTTTCCCTCTCAATAATTACAAGTAATTATACGAGAAGTTAAGTCGATCAGAATTAACATTATTTTTATTGTGTTTAATGATAAGTAATGAGAAAAATAATTGAAACGATTGTACGCAAACCCGTGTACATAGATAAATATACACCTTTACCGTCTCAACAATTTCAGATAGCTCGATTATGTTTAATGACGAGGTAAAAATCTGCTTCGACTCGTTTGCAACGATATTATTAATCGCGGGATTAATCGTGGTATTTCACGAGAATTTTCAAATGGCGGTGATCAAAAGATAATTTATACATTCATTCGTTATGCAATTTATACATCACAACAGGGGTCAGCGGCAACCATTTTTAAAGCGGCCGCCGTTTAACTACCGAAACGACAGGTTCATGTTTAATATAAATATGCATTGGATATACCGTGCCGAAATATTAAGTGCCCTTTGTCATAAACCTGTTATAAACCGGGCTACTTTGCTCGCAATAAAGGTCGACGATCTTGTCGACGAGAAAAAACCAAAAAAAAAAAAATTACAAATCTTGTCCAAAAGCGAATCTCTCCTCAAGAAGGTGAGCTCCTTCGATAAAAGGAAAACGTAGCTGACATTTTGCGGTTATTGTCGAATCGTGAAATTTATCTACAAATTGCTTTTTTCCTTCTTTATTCATTTTTCATACTTGTCGTTCAAAACGACACGTGTATATATATATACACGCAGTCGCATTATTCTTAAATTTATATTACCTCAGACCTGTTACGCCGTGATAATTTAACGATTTCCTTTCTTACCGACGTACAATCAACGAAATTGCGAATTTCTTCGACGCGATTAAGAAAAATTACAGGCTGGAAATTGCGCGATTTGACTTAGGAATTGAGAATTCGAGTGTTTGTAAAAGTTTGTTCGAAAACTCTCTCTCTTTGAAATAAAACTCAAGAACAGAGGAACGAAAGCGACCGTGATCGCAAATTGTTGAACACGGAACCAAGCAATGCTCGATTCGTATCTCGCTGCCATTAATAACCAAGAGGCATAAAATTCTGTACGATCATCGGCGCATCCTCCGTATCGACAAGTTGCATCGTCGCCGTACGGAATGTTAATAAAGGTGTGCAAGCGGTGCGCTAATAAAGAACCGTGTTACGAGATTCTTCTCGCAAGGCCGGTGAAAACGAATGATTCTCCGTCGCGTCTCGCGTCTCTTTCTCGAAAATTTAATCTCTGTGATTAAAATTATGTTTTTTTCAGATACACACACAATAATTCTATGTACTCTGTAATTCGAAACGAATTTAATTGATAATTGGCTCCTCGTCGCTTTTATCAAACTTGATCTCTTTTCTGGTCGATTAAAAAAAATATCCCGTATCGAATAATAACAACAGAGGTGATAGCAACATCGTCACTAATTAATCGAAACAAAGATTTTTTTTTTTTCTAATAACCGTTCGATGCCATCGTCGATGATGCGTTGTTATCGGCCACTAATTGGCGATAATTCTTCGAAAGTGCACGTTAATACTTCGAATTTTAATCGAGGACCACTACCGAGTTTAATTATCATATCATATCACATCGTTCAAGTAACAATTGTCAACTTCAATAATTCCAATTTTCAAATAATAATAATCCAAAATTCATTCCAAGTAAATAGTATTCGATCGTTGTCGCGAGATGATAATAATTCGTCAAAAGATATTGCATCGAGTTGTATTGCACACGGAGGAATATATTGCATCGAATCGTAGGTTTCGAGTCGGGTAAAAGGTGTTCAAAGTATTTTATTATCGACGCTCTAATGGAGGTATCAATTATATTAAGATAAATTTTTAGAAAAAACAAAAGTGGCTTTTTCCTTTATCGCCTGTTTCTAAAGGTTAAACACCGAACGAATCAGCGAATAAGATCCAAGAGGAAGAGGGGAACAAGTTGGGCGAGAGAAACAGAGAGAGAGAGAGAGAGAGAGAGAAAATTAATTCGATAATAATGAAAATGTGCGGTGTGGTCTGGCGAGATGTGAAAAAAATGTAATTAATATCGGTTGATGGCGTTAATTAAAAAAGCAGGAACAGAATGTTGGCCGAGGCCGGCGAAGAAACGGGCATTTCCACGCTCCGGCGTCGTGGAGAATCGGGATTCAATTCGATTACGTCGTAACGTTCTTGTGATTGATACCGGCCATTAACCGCATTCGTGACGTAATTAATGGGAATCCGTGAAACGACGAGGAGTAAAAAATTGGCGAAGCGGCGTGAAAATATGTTAAACGAAATTGCTCGAAAAGTTGGCGGTTGGAATTTCAGGGATTTATCATAAAAATTAATTAATCTCGTAAATACCGCACGTTTCGTAAATTAAGTGGTGTAAAGAAAAATATATATTTCCGAACTCGATCATTGCCGATTTAATTAATTAAGCAAGTGTAATTTGCAAATTGAATATTAATCTCGAGATAACATCGATTTGCAAACAATATTGTGGTAAGATGGATTTGAGGCAGGATCGATCCTAAGGCACGATGAATATGTAACAATTACGTAAATTAATCGTTTATTCCGTAAACACCTTTTCCGTTTCCGATTATTCCGTTTCATCGAGGAGAAGGTAAACTCTGATTCGTATCGTTCAGAAACGCTCGTTTCCTGGATAAAGCGAACGTGTTGAGACGATCGAT